AAATTTAGATTAATTCACATTATAAAATCATAGACATTAGAAAATATATTATATTTATCTCTGCTGTTCAGTGTTTACATGAGTACTACTGTACTGTAAGTATACGTGTATTTCATATGTTTTGAAATATAATGAAAACATTACATTATTTGTTAATGAGTCACATACTACTCATTGTCGTATTTGTTATCCTGTTTACTAAATGTCATTGATACTACAGGTGAATAAATTACTTATATAGTGTGTGACACATAAGTATGGACAGTAGAATTTGGCACTGTCTTAATTGCCATAGCCGCCATACCCGCCAGGGAAAAGAGAGAGAGCTGGTTATTTATTAAACTATTGTTAAATATTAATTCTTTATTAATTTTATACAAACATGTTAACATGTACTATAACTCAACCAGTTAATAATTTAATAATTGTAATTGTAATTACATATACATAGCTCTCTCTCCCAATTTTTTGGTCCTAAATGGGAGAGAGAGTCATTTATATGTAATTACAATTACAATTATTAAATTATTAACTGGTTAAGTTATAGTACATGTTAACATGTTTGTATAAAATTAATAAAGAATTAATATTTAACAATAGTTTAATAAATAACCAGCTCTCTCTCTTTTCCCTGGCGGGTATGGCGGCTATAGCGGGTATGGCAATTAAGACAGTCCCGTAGAATTTGTATAAATTAGAAAATTTTAAATTAATAAAGTATAACTGCCTTGCCCAGTATTGTTAGTAATTAACAAACTGACAATTTTAAAATAATAGGTACTAGTAAATAATTTAAAGTAATAAATTATAATATTTTGTTTCGAAAACAGGATTTATTTTTAAGTTTGCCTTTAGCAAAAATATAAAAATAAATTTATTATTATTATTCTTATACTGGTTATGGATTTGGTATAATCTTGAGCATATTAAAAGCAATGAGAATAAAAATCATTTTAAATAGTGTTGCTTACATAAAATGATTTAAATTAATAAAAATTATTTATAATATTTATAATTAAAATGCTATAAAATTAGCTTACTAAGTTATACCTATTTGACATGTATTATTATTATGCGTTACAAATTATGTTTTCAAGTACAATACTGTTAAAAACATAATTAGAAATTTGAACTCGATTATTTTATTTTAATATTGCGCAATATATTATGAATATTACTGTATTTATTCATTCAAAAACTGTACATTTTATACATAATAATAATTTAAAAATATTATCCAGCACTTTTATAACTTAACGAATTTATTCATTGAATTTAGCGTTGTTTGAAATCCAGTCCAACCCCTCATACAGGCCCTCACCGGTGAGCGCACAGGTACTCTGGATATGCCACCTATGAGTTCTCAACGTATGTAAACCCAGGCGCTCCGACACCTCCTCCATAGTCATAGCGTCGGGTTTATCCCGTTTGTTAGCCAACACCAGTACCACAGCATCCTGGTGCTGATCATCACACACCCATGACCAAAGTATATCCCTGGCCTCGCCAATGAACTGACGATCACTACTGTCCACCACAAACATTATACACTGTATGTTCGGAAAATAATGTGTCCACAGGGGGAATAATTTTGCACCACCACCAAGGTCCCATATATCGAACTCAATATTATTGTATGTAATAGTTTCGTGGTTGTACCCAACGGTTGCAATTGTTGTAATGTTCTCCAATTGTGGATATTTGAGTTTATATGTTACCTTGGTCCTACCCACACCTATGAGTGGTCAGTTAGTTAATAATCTCAAATTAGCAATAATTAATTATTGTGTACTCTATGTAATAAATATATTTATATTTATTTGAGAATAGTTAAATACTCTTTGCAAATTGATTGCTTATTGTCAATAAGTTATTGATTATTCATTATAAATATGTATATTAAATTATCAACTTCTAAATTGTTTTATATTGATTACTTTTTGAGATAAAATTATTACTCTTATTGTATGTAAAGCATTACAAATAAGATATGTATTATAAATTGCTTATAATAATAATAATAAAAAAAACACAATATTGATATATAAAATATAGATATATTTATATATTTTAGTGCTTTTCTAATTAATTGAATAAGCACATGTTAATTGTTGTAACCATTACTTTTAAATTTTAACTACAATATTTTTAAAATAAGTAAGCATTACATACCCATTCCGGGAACTCCTATCAATACTAGTTTAATAGACTTTTGCCGCCTCTGAAATACCGTTCCCAATATATTACCCATAATTAAATGGATGTTAAATCATATGAATAATTATTTATAAAACTATTAGTATTACTGTTACCATCTAAAATTTAGATTAAATCACATTTTTACAATCATTTAAATTATAAAATATTATATATTATGTACAGTGTGACCAACTCTTGTTTCGTAATTAGTGGACATTTTATTAAAATAATTGAATAAATAGAGGACAAATAGTGAACAACATATTTTATAGTGGAATTGAATTACAATTTTTTGAAAATATTTTTACTGTTTATCTCATTAACAGCAGAAATTTTTGACTAATTTTGTCATTAGTTTTTTTTATATATATTTTCCGATAAATTTGCTGCAATTAAATGAAATTTAGTTAAATGATAATGTATTTTATTATGATTATAATGTGAAATGCAATTTACATAACAATTTTA